AAAAAAAAAAAAAAAATAGCCCCTCTTAAAAAAGAAGAATGGAAAAAAAAAAAAAAAAAAAAAAAAAAAAAAAAAAAAATCATCGCTTTATTAAAAACCCAACAGATTACACTGAGGAAGGCCCCCTATTCATTGTCTTTTACGCAGGCAGATGAGAACGGTGAACAAAGTAGCATGAAAAAGCCAGAAGGTTTTGTTTAAAACAAACCAAAAGAAAAAAAAAGAAATAATGAGATTAAGATATTTTTAATATTAAGGTTTTCTCAGACTGTCATTATTTTCCATCTGGAGTTTATTAAGAAGAAATAGTGAGCATAAATATATTTTTATAAATATTTGTGGCCATTGAATTGGCAGAATTTGTCTAAAATAAACTTAATAATGCTCTGCAGGAGCAAGATAAATAAACAAATGAATACGTTTCCAGTATAAAGTCCTTAACGGGTTTTCTGTGATTAAAAAGCCAACCACTGTTGGCTCAGATTTGTAATCAACTTTGAACTTATCTACGAATTTCAAGCCAACTCTAAACCGTCTTTCCGGTCTCCAGTACTTTGTCACTTTACAACACAAACCATAAAGTATTTTATTGGAATTTTATGCATCAGAGCAAAACAAAGTGGCACAAAATCTTAACAAATGAAAATCCAAACATATGCATATGTATTCACCCGGCTTACTTTGATACCAGGTCAAAGTCCTAAACTAATTCTAATTGAGAATCTGGAACAAGATATGAAGACACGTTTTCACAGATGTTCACCATATAAATGAGCTTCAGAAATTTTCCAAATAAGAATTAGCTAAAATGTTAGTTGCTAGGTGAGCAAAGTTGGTTGCAACTCTTTTGGTGGAGAACATCAAAAGAGTTGCAGATGTAATTATAGCAGTTGGTATTTCAACAAAGTATTAAATTAGGTTGGGTGAATAAAAATACACAGCAAAGTATTCAGATTGTACCTTTACTATTTTGTCTTGCTCGAATATGAGAAACCAAATAAAATACACTGAAAATTTTCAGTCCCAATACTCCTCCCTGTGTAGACGTAGGAAAATGTTCAATCTTTGCTATGAATCTATCTGAGATGGTGAATGAATTATTTCCCCAAAAGGTCTTTTTTTTTAAGAACACACAAGATTACCACAACCTTTACAAACATAAATAAGACTAAAAGAAAGACACAAATTGGGAATAAAAAATTAAACTGAAATATTCCCTGATCACACAACCCTGAAGCTTGATTCTACCCTTTATCTCAGATTGTTTCCAATCAGCCATGGTCGAAACATGACTGCAGAGAGCTTGGAAGTGCTTCAGTAAAAAAAATCCCTCCCCTCTGTGTTTGCAGCCTTTCAGGCCCCTGCAGGCATTAGGTGTAGTGTGTGAGATTCCAGGCCTTTACTGCTGCAGGTGTAGGTGTAGTGTGTAAAATTCCACCCGGTATTGTTGACTAGAGGGCCGTCGTTCTAAGAGATGTGAGCAGGCACTTGTAACAGCATACTCCACTCCACCCACACTTGATTAGGAAGTCTAAAGCATCTGGAAGCACAGCTTTTTCTTTTTTGTTTTTTTGGAGCAAGTGATAGTCAAGAAAAGTTTGCATTTTGAACCAAACTGGTCAGGTGAATAACCAGATATTTACACGGGTGCTAAAACACAAATGTTAAAGGAAGAGAGTGAAGAGCTGTTGCTATGGTAATGCGTTTTGTTTTTTCCAAAATGATAGCTTTAATTTGGCACTCCCTTCCGGGCAGCAGGGAGTGCTCCTGCTACGTAGGTGGGTAAACATCCTTAAGATGTTTAAAATATCCAGAGGGGGTGCAGGTTGCGTGTTTAGGAGCTACCATCACACACAAACAGTAGTTATGAGCTCCCCCATCCAAGTCTTTAAACAAGATTACAAGTTAAGACAGGCGATATAATGGAAAAAAATATTTTTAAAAAGTGCATGCTCTACAGCCACACATTCAGTTTGAAAAAAGGTCAGCCCACAAAAACGGCAAACCACAAATGAGGATTCTTAAGGTAATTTGACAGTAGAATTTATGAGCAACAGGATGCCAAAATATTTCTCTGCAAATGAAGATGCAAATGAAGCTCAAAGAGACGCGTCCAAAACTATTGGGAATGTTTTCATAGGGAGAAAAATCAGATGAGTAAAAAGCTTTGACAAAGACGAGTCAAAAAATAAAAAAGCGACAGGGTTTGGGCGAACGAAAAGGTCTCCCTAACAACACTGTGTTGACTGCAGCTGAAGCCATGAAATTGCATTGGGGTGTCAAATAATTATCGGCTGTTTGTGTTTTTCCAGAAATCACATGTGAACATAAAACCAGATGAGAATGCTGTTGCAATGGAGTCCAATCCCAAGATTTTCATCAGAGATTTTCCACACAAAACGTCATTTTTCTCAGGTCTTATCTCTGAATCACATCAAGTCGTCCTGCAGATCAGGACAGGAGCATTTTCCTAAAGTTAAACACTTAACTTTAAGGCAAAATCACCAAAACTAGAAGAAGTCTCTTTATTCAAAGTCTTATCCTGGAACTACTGCCCATCCTTTTCCAGGTGATTCCAGGGTTTTGAATCGGGATCTCTTTTGAAAAACTTCTTTTTAGGGATGCTGCTGAGGGAGAAGGGAAGGGAGTGGCTTGAGGGCATCTCCTTCCGTTTCACAATGCACTCCTTGATGGCCTCTTTAATAACCTACAACAAAAAGCACAAATAGAAGAATTAAATATAAATTGCAGTGATGCAGAACACCCAAAAATGCCAAAAGAAAGGAACAACTCGTGTAATAAATAGACTTATATAAAGTCACAGCTGGTAAAAACATTTGGCTGGCAGCAAGCTCTAAAATGTTTTCCCATATATTAGTGCTTCTTCTGAACTTTCCATATTTACTAGAGTCTAGACATTTAGGAAGCAACGAGACATTATTATAATAAAGTAAAAACCAAATTAAAATAATCAGAAAAATTACATGTTTTTATTTTCTGTGATTATTCTGTCCCCTTATTTTGTGTAATCTCTCCTCCTCCAGATGTTCATACTCAGTTAATTGGTCTCATTTGTTTCTAGTAATCACTCCCTCCCTGGCTATGCTGACCTCCAGCCATCATCCGTCTTACTGCTTTAGCTCTTCAGCAGCTCTCTTTTTGTATCTGTACATATTACATGAGAATCTGCTCGACTGTGATTCTGTGGGCAGTCCTAAGACTCCATGACGCATCAAATGAGGCGCGTCACAATGCAGAAAAGGGTTAGTTTTAGTTTACATTTTTGCTGAATAGCACTAGGAAAAATGTGCTAACATCAAAGTGCACCTTTATGCAGATGACACCAAAGTTTACAACTAGATGAAGAAGGCCATACTTTTACCATCAGGTGATTATAATTCAGACCTTATCGAGATGGCATGATCCTATCTATATTTGGTATTTAGTGGCTTGATGTAATTTCTTTCAGAGTTCACAGAGTTCATGAGAACTTTAGTCTCAAGATGAATTAGTTTTTTTATCAATAAGTAAAATAAAATGCTCAATTAGTTGGTTTTTTTTTAAGTTCTTCAATGTGGTGACATTTTTTGTATGCTGCTTATGCTGACAACTTTGAGGTTTAGATTCTGTATTTTGTCTAGAGTACATACATTTTTTTCTTAATATGGCAGAAATTGTGTTTTTTTTAATTATTATTATTTTGGACATTGGTTGGGGAATAACCTTCATAATGTTCTCACTGTTAAAGCTTTTGTTTCTCTGGGAGAGTTTAGAAACTGTATTATGTTGACTGACTTATTTTCACATTAATTAAAAATTTTTAGCTCACAGCTGTGTGTTTTCTTGTCCAGGTCTCCTGCGAAACAGAGATGTTGACATAAAGGGACTTTCTTCTTAAATAAAGGTAAAAAAAAAAAAAAAGAAAAGCTTCCCAGCAGTGGATATTTCACCAAGTTTAATCTGAGGCTGGTTTGTACAATTGCTTAATGAACTCCAGAAATTCAATCCATTTTCGAACCCAGTTAGCGTGTAAAGTGCCATTACTGGACAAGCTTGAACACGTATCACTCATTTGTAGGGATTACGATGAGAAAACCTCCTTTTTTAAAAAGTGCCTGGTGCAATGACGTGTAATTATAAACTTGTGTCGAAATACACTGCAAGACTCCTGAAAAAATGCTGTCAGAACAGCCTATTGTAGAAGGACAGATTTTACTGATCTGGAATTGTATGGCTATAATGCGCAGCACAATCTCTAGCAAACTCCAAACACGGAAAAATAAGGACAGATTCTTCCCAACTGTCAAGAACGAAGGATGATCATTTGGGTTTACTTAGAAGCACCAAAGTACTAGAGTTAAATACAAATCCACTTCAGCAGCTGAAGCTTGAGTACTACAGCAGTCAAGTGATGCATTGCTGCAGCCTTACAAATTTATAAATATTCAAAAGCAATTTCATAGAAAGTTTTTATATTTTTCTCTGCGTTTTCCTCCTCGCCCCACTTTTTGTTAAATAAAGCTAAAGTATAGCATTCAGATTTTCATATTTAATTCATATTTAGTTAAAGAACATGTTATATGTGTTATATGTACGATATGATTGGTGGAAAAAAGGTTGTGCATATTCTGCGTACCATGACATGCCCACACTCTTGAGATTCCTTTTCACTAAATAATGTTGGCAAGAAAAAAACTACTACTACCAGAGAAAACTGTATGATGTATGGGTGAAATAAAATCTCCAGTGAAACTTGAATCATTCAGCACAGAAGTGATTCAAATGCAGTTGGCTAAGTAAGAGCATTCCTCAGACAGTAAATCAAACAAGCATGAGCCAGACTTCCTTTGTAATTCTTAAAGTTTTTGATGTTGCCCAATAATATACTAAGGAATCCAAAACTTCCTTACTGACAGAAGTTAATAAAGATAGATGACTACGGCTTATTTGAGACGTTTCTGAATCACTCTCCAATCCCTTCATGACCTTATGTTCTTACACATTGCAAAATTTACTGCCGACATCGTAATTGGTTCTTGTTGCGGAAATTTCATTTGTGCCAGTCTTGCAACATCACCAAGCTGACCTCGAGGTTGTTGAGGGTGTTGAACTCCATCAGGTCATGGAGTCGGGTGAAAGCCTCGTTGGAGTACTGGAAGTTGAAAGTTGAAAACGGCGACTCCGGGTCATCAAAGATGTCGAAATCAGCCAACTCCTTCTCCTTTTCTGTCTCTCTAGGAACCCCTGTGGACAGATCAAACATGAACAGGGAGTGAAATAAATAATCTGGTTTATTCACTGACACGAATGCAGTTTTAGCAAATGTAGTCTATGTTGAACTACATTTGAACCGTTATGAGTTTTATTCCAACTTTTTACACATGCAGGTTAAAAGTTAGAAAGTGCAGACACTGGAATTTCATTTACGGTTTCATTTCCTCAGATGTCTTTTGGCTTTGAGAGCAAAAACAAAATGTTTGGTATCATATAAACAGCCTTCGAAAGTCAGTGGGCAGATGACTAACAGAAACGCAAAGAGACACGAATGGAAAGGAGGAGATTCTGTGTCTTTGCATGATGGTTTGTTTCTACAAACTACACTGCAGGATGCAGGATTCCCCATCTGCACCTGGATCCTACAGGAGCCATATATTAGAGGGGTGAGTCATAAAAGCTGAAGACACTGTGACTCATTTTTGCATGTGTACATATGCACCAATTCCTCCTAGACCTTGAGCAGATGGTTTCCTTTTGGGGCCCTCAGATAAAGCGTGTAACTTTTGGGAAAAACGCGAAGCGCATTCTACTGCTAACTGATTATGATTGCATTCCCACATTCTTTTCACATCAAAATTCCTCACATTTCCAGAGTCAAACTTACCATTTGCGCTAACAGGAAATTAGTGTAATCATGATAAGACATGGTCTTGTAACATTGACCCTTCCAGCTCTGTAAACATCTCTGCACATGCTCACACTCACCAGGCGCCTTGAATTTCCTGAAGTTAATGTTGACCAGGACAAAGTGGATCACAGTCGGGCAATTCTTTTCCCCCTTCCTGGGTTTGAAGACGTAGCATTCCTTCAGACCCTCGCGATCGAACACTTTTGGGTCAATCTTAGGGAACTGGAGCTTGTTCATTCTGGCCCACTTTTCTGCTAACAGCAGCTCCTGTGGGACATTTTTACTAATTAGATCATGTTTTTTGGTGAGTTTTGATTTCAGTGGATTTAAGAAGTTTCTAACCTTGAATGGGGGGCTGGAGTCGCTCGGTCGAGCAGAAAAATCAAATGAGATGATGAGGTCAACGCCGCGTTGCGGCCGTAGAATGAGCGGGTAGGGGAGGTTGTAGGTCAGGCCGCTGTCTACCACATGGATCTTCTTACTCTTCACGTCCAGAGGTTCGTAAATACGGTCAAACTCATCGGGGTCTACAAAAACACAAAGAATGACAACTACATTTATTTTATTCCATCTAACCCAACCTTGAGTTGGATGGAATAAAAGAAATACAGGGTGTATGACACATGCAACTGGAAGAAGGAAGTACAGCCTTTCAAATGATCTCATAGGGAAAAAAAACCCAATCTGTGTTATTTGAGTGACACAGATTGGGTATAAATGGTGACTAAATACATGAATGCTGTTCTGTGTTCAAGAACAGAGTCTCTTTAAGCAAAGCTAAGTAAACTTCTAGCTTCACAGAAATAATGTTTGCTGTTTGCCACAACTTGTCACCTAAATACACTGGATCCTGACTCATGACATCATAGCACTTGTCTAAAGAGAAATGGTTTCCAACGATAATTCAACTGAAGAAACAAACTGGGTAATATCATGTAATCTAATCCAAGCTACAGGTTTTCCAAAAGCTAATCATGAGATCATCGTTCTACACAAATCCATTCAAATGAGATTTTTCCTAAGTGACATTAACTTTGGATTTCATTACTGCTGTTTTTCCTTGAGTAACTTGAATAGAGTGTAGCTTGAACATATTTTAAAAAGTTGCAATATTCACACTTGAAGCCACAAGCTTGCTGCTATGAGTACAGGGTAGGTAAAACTCTTTCACATTTTGAAAATCTTTCAACAGGTGGGACTAAATACACTGGGAGGGTAATCAAAGAAACGAGACACGGCTGGGCTCAATCAACAGGGAAGACAGAGACTCACAGGCTAATAAACACAGAAAAACCTCAAAATAAATACACAGAAAACACAGATCACAACACTGGTAAGATGTGAACAATTTAATGGTTTTTGCAAGACACTTTCACTACACTGCATGTAGTTTAGTTGCCTAAAGGCTTTATGTCAAAACGCCATGTAATAAATAAAACTGACAAATAATGTGGTATTTATTGTACAAAAGTTTCAGATCAAAGCATCACTTTCTGGAGTGATGTAAAGAAAACAGCCAAATAAAAACTATACACACTCAACAAATCACCACACAAAATATTTTCAAACTGCAGCTAAAATCTAATTTCATAGAAAACTTGATCATTTGAATCATTAGAAACTAAAACAATAAACAAGCACAAGGAGACCAAAAACAAGGTAAGAAAAAGTGAACAAAGCTTTGACTTCTGAATTATTCTGGTCGCATCAGAATTTAATCTCTAAACGGATTAAGAAGAAACGGCGAAGGTATCGTGGATCATAGTAAAACTGTGTAAAACGATCCTGACCCATCTTGATGTAAAGAGTGAACAGTGCATCGTTATTTTCATCTTACCTGTTACAGCATCCACTTCGTCTTCAGGTGTAAGCACAGTATATTGTACGTCCGTTAGAGGAGAGAAGGGGACGCTGGTGTTCAGGTTCAGGCCCAGCATGAAGTTATGCACCTGGTGAGGCGATAAAAGGAGATTTTAGACAAAGAAAATGCAGATCGACCTGTGCTGACGTTTAAGTAGTGCACCTTTCCAGCTCGACCCTCTCTTGTGTTGAACAGGGCAGAGTCACTAAAGAGCGAGGTGAACATTCTCTGAACCCAGCTGGCCTGAGCGGTGCGGCTGTACTCCTCCTCTGCATCTTGGTTTTCTGTTCCACCTAAAAACCAAAATGTACACAAACACACATACTTGGCCTTTACATAACTTACAAGGGTGTACAGAAAATTTATGGATTATGTTAATTACCTTTTCATGTTTTTAAAAAAATATTTATAAGTGTAATCAGCTTTGATTGGCCCACATGCGTTGTTTCTTCCTCAGCATGTCACATTTAGCTCTACAGAGGTTTTCTAACGAGTCAGTGAGTTATCTCGAGTTTTAGTTACTTAGGAAGTAAACTGGCCATTAATCACTCACTGATTTAGCCCACCAAGGTCTATATAACGTGAATCGTTGTACAACAAAAGAGCAAGCTAAGCAACTCATGAGTCATGCCAAGAAAATTTGAACTGTATAAATATTTTTTTTCCCCTAACTTCAAATGAAAGAGGAGGAAATACCTGAGAAAACAAACTGAGTTTTACTAACCATGCTTGGTTTGTACTACGTGCTGTAAAACAAAAGTACATAAAGAAAAGGAAGATAAATGGAGTCTAGTGACAAAATGCCACTAACAATGAGACGTGAAGAAAAAAGTCTATGAAAGTCAACACAAAAGGACTTTACTCTCTAATCCTGCTTCTGTTTTTATACCAAAGAATTTCACAATGACATCATTCAGCTCTCAACGCTTCACGCCGATTTGTGAAAATGAACTTGTATTTTTTAACCTTTTGGATTAGGAGTTTTCAAACATGTTTTGGATTTTGTCATCTGACCTTGATAAACAGTAAACCATAAAACATTTCAAGTATTTGGCTACCATCATACCTGTAGTTTTATTTTAATCTAAGTGACTTCCTCTTAAAAATTCTCTACAAAAGCAACGGCTTCCACGTGTTGTAACAGAAAGAACTGTGAGATAATTATGGTAGATAATCTTATCATGGTTAGATCTCAAACATTAACTCGCTAATCAACTTTTTGCTTGCAGAAATGGAGAGAGGCCTACACTGAGCAAATCAGGCAAAAATATAACAAGTCAATAACCTTTTAAATCTTTAAAAAATAGTTGATTTTATAGTGTTTTTTTCTCATGCGTTTGCTCCCTGTTTAATACATATTTCTTAACACCTGTATCTATGCATAAGAAAAGTCCAATTCTGAGGACTTCTGAGATTAAATAATTTAAAAAAGTTTAGAAAACAGTTTCTAAAGAGATTTGAACCAAGACCAAGAAAATTTTTGTCATGCAAGAAAGATGCCCATGCCAATAGAAGAAGTCACATTTAAATCTTTAGATACAGAATATGTGTGCGCTGGTCAGAAGACACCAAAATTTAACGATTATATTACCCATATGCAAAATGCGTGAACAAAAGTTTTACACTGAACAGAACATCCCCACAGTGGAACATGATAGTGGCACCGTCATGCTTTTATTACAGCTGGTTAGTGTTGGCCGTCAGAAACTGTTTGTTTTAAATTTCATCTAAATATAGAAAACTCTGACACACCTTCTAAGGCTTATGCACGCATTGGAACATGAATTGGTTATTTGTTACTTAAAGTCGTGCAGCTTTAAAAAGAGAAACATTAGACATCTTCACATGCAGGAACAGAGTTCATTTGAAACCAACGTCTTTCTTTTTCTGACACACCCTTTTTCTCAAACCTGTCTCTCTCTTTCTCTCCCACACATTGTCCTTTTTTTCTATTTATAGCTTTTTTTCAGTAAAAGTCTAGTTTTTTTAATCACAATAGACAGCTTTTCTAAAGTCTAAGTGAAACACTCATTAATCAGCAGAGCCTCTTAAGCAAAGTGATTTTTCTCATGCAGCTGTCACGCCAGCTGATGCAAATGGAAACTTTGCTTCAAACACATCAGTGTTACAATTATTCACTGTAAATCAGCTGTGCATTAAATCCTTTATGCATTTCTCAGCTTACCTTTTCTGGGTTCATCGTCATTGTCCAGGCTGTCTTCTCCAACAATGTGCTGGGGTTTGATCTGCTCTGTAAGACGTACAAAACAATTCTTCACTCTGCAAGTCCTTAAACAAGTTTATTTTAAGTTTTAAAGTTAACCTGATTTCCTGTTTTGTAAGGTTTTGTGGCATTATCATATTACCATCAGCTGCTTATCTTCGTGAGAACTACATTGTCACAGTCTGACTGTATGGCGTAAACGCCACCAATTACAAAAGCATTCAATCAAACGAAGAGCTAATGAGCTGTCATGAAGTTAATATGTCCCCTCACAGCTGGGTTGTCACTGGTACCCAAACTGCATTTTTTAAAAAGCTCTTTGAAGGTGTGAGATGAAGTGACTAAAACCAACCTCCGGACACATTTATGACAAAAGGATCTCAGGTATGCAGTGATTTCCATCGCAGTGTGAGGATGTTCCATGGAAACTGATTTCAATCAGAGATGTAGAAAAAGAAAACTAACACAAGTGACCCATGACTGCAGATGTCTGATTGTGCTCACACAGACTTCAACATTTACAAACTAATCTAAAACACTCTTGCAATCACAACCTGAATATCCTCAATTTTAACTACTATAGGAATATTATACATTATATTTACTTAGTAAAATTCTGTCATGAACTTTGGACCAAAGGTCTTGTTTTGCTTTTTATATTCAGTTGATTTTTTAGGTTTAAGATTACTTGTAGTACTCTGGTGTTTGTGTTTTTGTTCAGCTATTATCTGCAGTCTTTATCGTTATCGTTCTCTTTTTATCTTGGTTTATTTCCTTTAAATTTAACTTCAGTTACTTGCCTTCCTTCACTGCTGTTCCCACTTTCTAATCAACCACCTACTTCTTGTTCAATAATCACCTCCCATGCAGATATATCTGTCTGTCTGTCAGCTCTTTGTCAGATCATCCTGTGGTTCCTTGTTCTGTAGTATTTGGATTCATCCCGACATTTTTGTTTTTGAATCTTTCTTTTCACCATTTTATGACAAATTCAGAATCGTTCTGCTCCAAAATGTTTTTACAGGTGTGTCACTGAGATCTCAATTTATTTTAGCAATGCAATTCAAAAAAGTAAAACTCTTAGATGTGGCTGTAACAAACAGATACATCTTAAACATTTCTTTCAGGTAATTTTGATGTGGCTGTGTGGTAATTTTGTAAATATTTAAATAAGCCAAAAAAGGGGATTTAATCTGCTTATCAACTTTGATTGTGCAATTTTTCCTACCACGTTTTTCCCCTTAACTCGTTTTTCAATTAACGTCTTGAAAAAGAAATCATGAAAATTTATTTCTAAAAAACTAAATATATTGTTCTGTGTGTAATGAATCTAAATATGTGACCAGCTTTTTTTTTTTACATTTATTTGCTGAAATAAATTCTCCTTTCTAATTATCTCATTCACTGAGGTGCACCCACATTTATTTTAATTTATTTACATTCATCTGCAATTTACAAATTTCTTTCTTTCATTAGATCAGCCTTTGCTGTAATATTTGCAAAAAATATATATTTTAAGAAACTTTTATTAGTCTTTTTTCCCCCAAAATATCAATCATATGTTTGTTTTTAAATTTCAGTCGGGTATAGAAAACTAGAGAGGGGATATACATTTAAAAATCTCTAAGCTAACTTGGTGAAACAGTTTTGTTACATTTCCCATTCATTTTGTCTCCAAAAAAAGGAGAAAGCAGGGTAACAGCTTACCTAACTCCTCCTCCATGGTGCTGCCTCCGGCTGTGTCCTTGACTCCCAGCACTCGGTTGAACAGAATGGAGAAGGCACTTCCCCACACGCCTGCCACACCAAAACATGCTCAGTCAGTATCGAACACCCAAATCATGTGCTCCAGTTGAAATGGTTCATCCTTACCCATCAGGAAGTGAAGAGGGTTCTCTTCGTACTTCTTCACAACTGTTCCCATGAAGAACTTGCTTCCAAACAGGTCGGGCGTCATGAAGGTACCATACTTTGCCATTCCTATTTCATACGGGCTGAACTCAACCCAATCTGGAGGTTGGAATTAGAGTTAATGTGAAAAAGTGTTACTCACCAAATAATATTAAACACCTAATTATTGTGAGATGATAGTGCTATGAGGAGAGGTATCCACTTTAGATGTAATAAAAGCAAAACTTTAAAAGCTGCCTTTGCCAGGAACCACAGTAGTTTTTAAATTTGTTTTTGCCTCCTCTTTTGGTACATCCACCAAACATAGTTGCCTCATAAATAGCCTATGTAGGGATTCAGTACTTCTGGGATTTGACCACGTCAGTCTTGAGCAGCAAAAAGTTTCTGGAGCAACCATCGGAGGCTGTGTTCACACAGCAGGTGACTGAGACCCACAGTTTGAACTTCCATGAACTTTTCACCCCAATAATATCTGATCTGTGCCACTTACAAATGTAATGTCACATTTAATCTGACTTTCATGTCACTGATGTGAGACACAAATCATTTTCCTGCACCAAAAAAAGTCAGACGCAGCAAATCCAGACATAAACAATTGATAAAAATTATGATTAACTTATAAAAGAAGTCTGTCAGTGAAGCGCACTGCGCATCCAAACAGATTTCACTAAGGAAACTGCAGTCAGTGCTCCACAAAGAGCCATTAATATCAGTTGTGTTTTCTTTTTATTACCTTCCTTTGTGTTGTTGCAATCTTGTGACAATACTTTTGGCTCCCATTGTTCTGTTAACTTTACAATCACACTATGAAACGACTCCGTTTATTATTGCCTCTGTAAACAATGCGCTGCTTGTGACAATCAGATTTCAGCAAAAATTGGGAATTGAGAGTCAAGAGTTGCAGCTTTAGTCTCCTGGCCTCATATCATTGAGGTACTTTAGGACAAAATCAAACACGCAGTTCCTTTAAGACAACCCAGACCTTAAAGGGACTGGAGGCTTTTCTCCAAGAAGAACCGACATATTTATTATCTGAGAAAATAAAGTACTTCATCTACAAAAAAAAAAACAAAAAAAAACCAGACATCAAGCTGTCAATATTTGATCAGAGCCATTTGGGAAGTTTCTGATGTCAATATAATTGAAAAAAAAAAAAATAGCACAGCAGGATAACAGTAAATGGCTTCACCCAATCATGAGTGATATAATTTATGTCTTCTGAATAATTGGCTCTAAAAATAACTTTCTTCCAGTGTATGTGAATGTGTGTGTAGACATTCCTAAGTTTGTAGAAACATCCACGACCACATTTCAAACATTACTAATCACATCAACGAAACTAAAATGCTTCACGGTTGAACAACTACCTAAGGTAGTAAATGTCATTTTCACACTAGCTCTGCAATGGTTGCAATGTTTGTCATCGAGACAGTTTTTCTTTAACTGTTAGGTACTGCTGCTGTGCGATAAGAAAAGAGAAACGTGTAATTCCAGATTGGGTACAGGTTTTGCGTCATCTTCGTAAATACATGTCGAAGTGGCTCTTCACAATAGTATCTTTTCAACGGCAACAAGAGAGGGAATACCTTACTCTGGATCAGTTTTCTCACAGAGGCTATTGTAAGAGCAGAGCCCTGCGCACATTTATGATAAACAGAAACCTCTGTGGATCAAGTCGCAAGGGAAATTTCTCAGTAAATCGGCCCACAGTGAAATATCTCCCCACAAGATTGTGGGTGACCCCTTCTCGGAATAATTCAGTAATTATCTGATGCAAATAAATAAATGTAGCAGGAGGAAAGAAAATGTGATTCATCTGTAAACTATATTTAACTGTCAAATTACGCACCTGCTGGTGCGTCTGTGACGTCACATTTACTTCCAGAGACGTAAATCTATATACTGTACATTGGAAAATGTACAAATTCAAAAGGAACATTTTGAAAAGTTATTCAGGATGTTAGAGTTCAGGTTCAGTGCAGCTCAGCTGATAACACTCAGGCGAACGATAAGACGTTTGGGATGTGATTAACTACAAAGATTTTACAGCAAGTTGACCGCACTGCTGAGTCTGCGCTTTCCTTCCAAAGATTATGTTTTTAAAAGTCATTGTGAGGTTATGTAGTCTTTTTTACATTCATCTTCATGGCTTTATTTATTTTAGTAGTGTTACATTTTGTTCTTGCAATAGCATTTTGTAAGCCCCATTTGTAGTTCCTATTTTAATTTGGTAGTTTCTGTGGTTGCAACCTGCTTTACTTCCTCTGATCTGCTCCTGTCTAATTGTGAAGATTGGGTTTTCCTGTGTTGAGTCAATCTCAATCCATTTATAGCAGCTGTCTGCTTGACTCTGGAGGTCTGCATTTAGTTGTGTATTAGATTTTTCATCTATGACAGATTTAAAGACCCTCTTACTGTCTTATTGACTTCCCAGTGCCTTCTTATGCACTGAATACCTAAAAGTCTTATGTTTTTTTTTCATGTTTTGCTTTTGCCTGTTTCACACGCAATTTTATTTCTTTATTTCAAATGGGTTTTAAAAAGACAAGAGAGCAAGCAATCAGTGGGACAGAGATATAAAACAATGCAAACCATAACACCCAAATGTCTAAACCAGTGATTAAACCTTTCAGAACAATTACAATGTGCAATGTACCACAACACTGTCCAGACATTTTAAAACAGAACAATAGTTAGGTGATTTGTGTTGTTTTAAAATAAGAGAAAATCATTCAAATTGAAAAAATTAACAGGAAAAGTTCCTGCACATATCTCCCTAAATCATTCCCATAAATAACTACATAAACTACCTTTAATTGTGAAAATGATCCTTAAGTGTTTGAATGCAAAAAACTTATCAAAACATATATTTTTATGAGCATCAACATCAGAAGTAGTTGTGTGCAGCCAAGAAATGAAAATGCTCATTTATATAAGCAATCAAAAGGAAGTGGTTAATACTGTGTGTTCAGTAAAATCTCATGGTTTCAACTGACTTTAAAGAAACAAGTTTATCTCCTACATGCTGAACTGAAGGAAAGTTTGCTTCTTTTTTCCCTCCATCCCACTTTTTGATTAGTTTTCATAAATCATGGCTGTTTGCTGTCAAACACCCCTACATGGAATTAAGTGTAAGATAATCTGTCAAGTCTTCTCCCTCTTTACAAAGAATGGCTGATTGCTTATCTCCTTTTAGCAGCACTGGAAAACTTGTAGTCAAGCAGCATTTAAAACAAAAAAATTTTATCACTACAAAGTGAAATTAAAAGATTGATGGTGGAAACCGAGTCAGAAATGCTGTTTATGGACTGGAACTCCTTGTGTTGCACTCTGTGAAATGAACAGGAGACAATGAAATCCTAAAATACCAGAGCTAATCCAACTTTTTATTAATGTTGTAGCTCCATGTTTTTGTTTTCTTGTTTACAGATGTCTTAATATATTTAATATCCAACAAAAGCTAAGCTAAACCCTGGGCACTAATACCAATGAAGGCAGGTTAAAGCCTGGACCGGTTGACAATTTTTGTCATAATGAGCCAACTAACGATGAAATGAGTTACAATAGCCGCAGTTTAGTCCTCTTTTTAAAAGTTTTAACTGCTTCAGTTGCCATAGAGCCCACACTAACGAAGAGGAAGTGTTGTGTTATATGGGACAAACCTAGAACAACCACAAACTGGTGCTTAAGACAGTTCCTTTATTTAGCTCAGCTAATGTTTTCTGTAAGTGCGGAATTAAAAGACGGCTGAACACATCGGGCCACATCCTGTCTTTGACACCAATGCTACATTACAAGGAATACGTGTTGGCTGCTTATTTTGCATGTGGTCTCACTGAATATGTGTATACATTACTCGTTATTTATGCAAATGTAGGTCTGCTGGGAATATGAGGTGTCAGAGATGAGCTTTTAGCATAAAACAAGAATCCGAATTACCTGCAAACATGAGCTCTGAAACATCTGGTTTGACGTGTAGACATGTGAAGAGAGGTAGAGGGCTCTGGGACTGGTTTATTTTCTCCTGGATGTCACTTAGCTTGATATCCATCCTCTGAATAAACAGACCATAATGTTTGAATCAGCTCATACGCACTAATGTTCACATTTCTAACATCATAATAAGGAATAATAATTACATTCCCCAAACTACAGTAGGTAACTTCTATATTAAAATGTTTTTTTTTACATATTTATTAAAACACTATGTCACTATGTTGTGACAGTTTGACATGAGACAGATAATGTGTGAAAAGAAATCTTTGCCCTCTCTCAATGCTAACTATAGAAATACACTGCTTGGTTAGAAACAACCATTTTCTTTTTAAAGAAAATAAACATTTAATAGCTGAGTTACACTAAATCAGGGGAATTCACTGGTTTTCATGAGTAAAATAAATAGTAGCTGTATGTGGCTCCTACCGCAGGTATAAGAGTTTCTCCTATGAGCATGCCGAATACGTCAGTAAACGTAACTGGCTGCCCTGATGCTTTTTTGGTCCACAGGGCCTGGATGTAGTTGGTGATGTGCTGAGGCAGCAGCAGCCTGAGAGGATTGCTGCTGACTCTTTTCATCAGCTCGCTGTTGATGTCTTTCGGACCCTTGTTTGGAAAGTCGGGGTGGGAGTAGAGAGTAGACATATACCTGGAGAGATAAAGTGGAAGAAAGACAGAAAGAGGTGGTTTCAAATTACAATTACAGAATAAATAAGTACAGATAAGTAATTTTTGCTGTGGCACAACCACAAGTTTTTATATTTTTTGGAGTGATTTTATGTGAGTCATGTTCCAAGTCTTTAACAGACAGTTTTTTGGGGGGGGTTTTCCCATCGTCTTTCCACCTCTGACTCGGACGAGTTTCGATCTTCCTACTGAAGAAAAGCATTCCCACTGAGCAGTTATTTATTAACTGAATTTTGCTGCTACCAACATGTGTTCTGGCTGATGTTTACTATTAGTTAAGGTTTTCTCTTCCATCAGTGGCAGATTTATGGAAGGTATGCAACCAAATCTCTCAACTGACCTCTGCAACTCCTCCAGATATGTTTGGTCACTGGAGTCAATTTCATATTTTTGGATATAAAAACCTTGAAATCCATGAATCATTTTCCTTCCCCTCTCCAGATATGCACTGGTTTGTGTTGGTATATCACATAAAATCCTCTCAAAGTACACTGAAGTTCATGATTGTAGTGCAGAGACAAAGTAAGAGAAAAGAAAATACTGATAAATAAAGAAAAGTCAAAGAAACAAGCATGATGAAGGTGAGACATGAAGAAAACAGGGCAGGTAAACACGTACCATGTGGACCCAGAGAGGCCTGCAACATACGTGGCACAGTCTAAGACCCCAGACTCAAACAGGGCCTTCATCACTCCAGAAAACCCGACCATTGCACGAAAACCTCCACCTGAACCTGCAATGGCTATCACTGGAACCTGGAACAGTAAGCAAATTTATAATAAGATGAAGAAAGATATGCTTAACAACATCATTATAACCTACAGGCTTTAAAAACAGTGGATTCAATCTGGATTATTCTTCCAGCTTCAGTAACTTCCCTTTGCACAGCTTGAATGCCAAGCTAGTTACATCATGCCTTTGCAGCAGTCTGTTAGATATTTTTTGGTATTATCATTTTGTTATTACTTTAGTTCATATTCAGTCTTACTTTAGTTCATATTCAGTCTAATGTTAATCAGTATTATTGTGATTTTCTGTTTAAAGTGTTCTCTTCCTTATGTGTGTATAAACTGACCTGGAGGTTACGACTGACTGTTTCATCTTCATGTGAGACAGTTAACTCTGTGTTTCCCAGACCTTAAATTCTTCTTGTGTTAGTTTGACCTAGAGCTGAACTGGGCTCAGACCGTAGATCAGATATCACACCTGGAACTGAGTTGCTGGTTTGTTTAGGTTAAATGTTTTACGACCTCTGTTGTTTTTTTTCTGGCTGTTCTGCTTGACAATAAAACAGGGGCTCACGCGAAAGCAGACCAGAATTCTCTGTGAACGGCTGATGAGGTTGTTGATGGAGAGTTCTCCTTTTGCAAAAGCTTTGTCTATGAAATTCATATACGTTGTCTGTGGTCTTTTTATATAGGTTCGAGAAAAAGTACCTATCACAGTCCTTTGCCTAAGTTGTGTTTTAACAACTTCAGCTATTTCCTAATTCTTATTGTGCAACACCCGGCCCGTGCAATCCATAATTTCTGAATATTTCTACAGTCAAAGGGAGTTGGAGGACGGCCTTCACAGTAAAAGGCTGTAACAGGATACTTCATCCCTCTGCAAGTTCTCGTACAATGAGGAGAGGGAACCACTGGCCAGAGCTTATCGCCAGCTAGCAGGGGCACCACACCAAAACAGCTCTGGCGGGAAAGGAAGCTAAACTAAATGCATGGGAGAAAAGGTTGAAGTTTTGCGTCAGAGATTTCCACTTCATGTCAGCAAGTCTGCACTGAAGCTTGATTACAATGTCTAAAGGCAACAGACCTTAATGCTTTGGACTGTTTTTCCTCTGGTCAATAACCTTTCCTGGACGGAGCTAAAGATAAGCAGGAATATGGAGTAGAGCAAATGCTACTGTAAGCACACATCAGAACCATCACTACTTTATAAAAAAGAATAAACTCAGTAGAGTAGAAATGCAGGAAATATCGTGTTGCTTCATGTCAGCGGCAGGGTTAACATAATCCATTATGGAAACAGTTTTAGGGCCAATATCAGCCCTTCCTGTTTTTCAGGTTATCAGTGAGGCGACAGGATAAACAGTAGTTTACCTTTCTGATAAAAAAAAAAAAAAAAAGTTTTGATTTTGCATTGCGCTGACTGTGAACCAGATCAAAGTGCTTCCTTATTATGGGTCACTGACCAAAATAAAGTTTTATGCTTTTTGTAGAGAGAATCAACACTGAACAAAGTATTGTTTGCTGTTTAAATCTGTTCAGTTTTTTTTAAATAAAATATTATATAATTTATAATTATTTTACCACCAGCATACAAACTCCTGATGATTTTTTTTTTAACCTAATGGCAGCCATGTTGTTTCTGTTTCTTCTGGGCCTGATACCATGTGAGAGTTTCAGTGCTTTACCAAAAACATTATTCCTCATAAACTTTTGTTTTTTCAGACTGCAAGCATAAACTTCAATGTATTTAATTCTGATTTGATTCCATGAACCAAACTAAAGTGGTAAATAAGTGAGAGAGGGAAAATCATATGTTTTCGAAATTTTCCAAATAGCTCCAGCTCAGTCAAAATGGATGGAAAGCATTTGTGAAAATTGCTTTCTTACCTCCGTTACGTCTGGACTTTGACTAGGTCATTCTAACACATAAATTTGGTTTGATTTAAACCATCCATTGTAACTAAAGAAAAGGGTCTAAAAAACAAACGTAAGTTAAACCCAATCCAGACATTATTTTAAAAAACAAAATTGAAAACTGTAATTTTTCGTCTCGTCCATAATTGTCTGCTACTTCAGGTTTCTCATAAAATAACATGCAATGAATGTCAAGGGTATAACGTGAGAAAAAGTTGAAAGCACTGGATACTTTTGCAAGACTCTGTGAACACCTCATTGTGTTGTGTGTTATTTAGGCGCTAAGTAATTGAAAAACAGCACAGAAGTTGTACATGTGAAGTGCAAGCAGTGTTTACTTTTTTAATTCAAACAGGTGAAGTTTTCACAAGTAAGAACTTAAATGTGGCCATTTAAAATGTATGAAAAATGACACAAAAAAGTGTGTTAATAACACGCTGAGTCATTACATTCCTGCCTGTTTCTAGGTAGGAGTACAAAGTGAGTAAAACTGAGAATTTAAGCTGTCACTTCAGGAACCAGCTGTCATTTCGATTGTAAATGTAAAAAAATGCCTCTGCGTTTCTGCACTCACCTCGTGCGGAGCGCTGGGGAGGAAGCAAGGCTTCTCCATGTCGAGGAGCTTTTTAATGCCGAGCATCACTCTTTCTCTGCGGGTGTGTCGAAACTCCTTCTCTTTGTCACACAAGGCCAGGCTGAACCTCAGGTCCTGGTTTGTGCTGAAGATGCAGAAAATAAGATTTAGGTTTCACGAAAACGCCGACTCATGTCGAGCAGAACGTGGTTAGAGAATAAAATCTTCTGACAGGATGATCAAAACTGATCTTCTTTGTCTGATAAGATCTGCTGTCAGGTGGTCTGCTGTGAAACTCACCTACAAACTTTTTCATCTTTATCACTCACCTTCATATAATTACAAACCTTTTCTGGAACATTACATTAAATGCAATTACGGGAAGGAATCAGCTGCAGATTTGATTACTCATTTACTTTGTTAGGCAACTAGTCTGGTTCTAGTGTGACAGCACCTTTATAAACCAATATTACTTATTAAATATAACTAAATAACATTTAATTTTGATTTAAAAACATACCAGATTTCCAACATCATCTCCAAGTGTACTTTGGTTGCCTGTAAAAATAAACATTATGTGGTTATTTAAGTGTGACGGAGGCCACAGCAGGAAACAAACTATCCAAATGGAAAAATGTTACACTCTTGGCACACAACCACCTCAATAAACATGTAAATATATCATCATTCATGAGATTTTTTCACTGACGCTTTCCTAGCATTCGTCTGAAGCACTCATTTCTGCAGTAACGCACATTTACATAATTCATTTCGAAGTCATTTGCGAGAATTTAAATCATCGGGAAAAGATTTTCCAACAACATTTGCCATTCAAACATATGAATATTAGGTTGTGTAAACTAAAGTGACAGCCTTACTTTTCCAAATTTGAAAATTTCCAGCTTTTTCTGGCCCACTTTGAGCTTGGTGATGTCAAAGGACGCCGTCCCAAGTGTCTCGTCCATGACATAGTTGGCATCCATTAATGTCAGCTGATTGGAATAAACAGTAGAGTTTATGCTGTTGAACATGTTAATTCTGTTTAGCTTCACCAAGATTAAATTAAACAAACATTGGAAAATTGTCTAAGCAAAAAAACGAAACATTTTGAGTCATAATCCTGTTTCATAGCTGCAGTGCTACTGCTGTGTTGCATCATTACTCAGTCATCTTCTGCAGAACTAGAACTGGACTTTCAAATGCAAATCTCACCTCCAACACATTTGGCTGGCCGGGGTCTAAAATGAAATGAAAAGTCTCATTCCACTTTGGGTTGATGTTGTTGTCTATGTGCTTCGTCCTCTTCCTGCTCTCCGGAGCGGTTGGGATGAACAGCTCCACATATGGATCTGGAGTATCCACTAAACACGCAACAGATTGGGTAGATTTACTAAATGATCAGATCTAATGTGGCAGAAAGACACTCCTTCGTGTCATTTGGAAATCAGAAATATGAGCAAACATATTTATATATATAAAGTTCCTCAAGGTTCTATTCTGGGGTTACTTTTATTTAATACTGACATTCTCCCCGTAACCCAGATTATGGATTATTACAACATCTCCTATTATCCTTACGCTACATTTTCATCTCACAACCATAATGTCTTACCAAAAAAAAAAGCAGTGTAAATGATGGAATTTCTTGCCTAATTAGCATTTCAGACGCCATTAATTATATTTATTTTACATTTTTAATGAACATAAGTACAAAAATCAACTTCTCTACTCTAAACAATGAATCCATGTAGCATTCAGATTCATAATTGTTTAAAATACTCCTAAATACTTACGCAGGTCACCAAGTGCTCCTTTGGTAACACTTTCAGCACGAACGACAGTCACAGTGAATTTATGAGAGATTTGATATTCCACCTACAACACAGTTCATGTTTAGTTCAAAACAACTTTAGTATTCTGTGTGAGAAAATATGTGAAACCAGCGTAAAGAAAATGATAACAGATCTGTCGGTTGCAAAATGAGTCGTCAACCAGAGAAAACATGCAGGGGGTTTGGCATGACAGCTGACAATCAAACCCATCGTGAAACGCTTCACTTTGTGCCACTTTGATTGAAAACATGTAAGCATTTACTATACAGTTAAAGATACATTTATTTTTTATTTCCACGGTTGTGCGGATTAGTTATAGACTAATACAGGCAGCTAAACAACTTCCGTTTTTTTTTTTTTTTTTAATAATTGCTAACTACAGACGTATTTCCAGCACTTCCGGCACATTCCATCTTTTCAATGTTTTTTGGAAGATGACGACTTTTAGGGTGCGACCAACTTGATACAACAGTAATGAATGACGACAAAAGCTATTATGGTTGGACGCAGTCAACTATACTGACAATGATATTCAAAAATGCTTTGATTGGGACATCGCCAATGGAAACACAAACATTGTTTGGTTGATAAACAAAAAAAAGCCACAAAGAAGACAACTCGTTGAGGCAAAAGTGGAATAAAGCACTAAAGTTTGCTGGGCTTGAACCTAAGGTTTTAAGTTTGTGTAAAATGACAGAAAATTACACTTCAAGTTGTTTCTACTCTGAATAGTTGGGAGCTTGACTTCAAATTTTTGTTTCTCCAAACTTGGATCACTGCTATGTTCCTTAGAGAACATATTTGTTTCCTGTACGGTAAGTATACTCCCCAGTGCAAAAACTGAACTTTCCCCAGAATTATGTGACACAATTACAGTAATTATTGCTTCAGATATTTCTAAATAAATTTTAAAAAAGTTAATACTATATTTAAATGTGTTGGCAACACTCCAGTTTAAACAGAATCCACCCGGTTGTATTCATGAGCTGAGAATGTTATAACCATTTATCAAACTATCACAATAAGACAGACAGGAGGTGCTGAGTCACAGCTCAAAATCAAACATCGCTTGTTTCTTTGGTATGATCAGTGATAGGCTTAGGTATGCATCTATTTCTGCCCATTGATCACACCCTAGGAATTACAGAGGAAATTGCAATGTTATGCAATGTTACACATTAATTTGTAAAATCTAAGATTACTTCTTTTTTTTTTTTTTGTCCTTACAACAATTTTGACAGGTTATAAATAGATTGTGTTAGCTGCGCCTAAACTGTGGGCGTCATCCATTTGTTCTATTAAAAAAACAGAACTTGTGTTTCTTTTCGTCTGTTGTTACGATACCTTGTTACATCCAGAGTCATTTTTAGGTCATTTTTCAAGAACACTGTCACCTCAGTGGATATCATTTTACTCCTAAAGGACATTTTAGTTTTAAAACTCTAAACACAGGAAATATAACAAATTCAAGATGGCACTGGATTGTCAGGAATACAAGTCTGACAAAGATTATCTCAAAGTTGTGTTCAAATTAATAAAAAACCTCTGATCTCTACATTAGCAGTTTGGGTTTTTGAAACTTGAATCTGTATTTGTTGAAGGAAAATGATCCGAGTCGTTCTGTGGAACGACTGAACCACCTGAGATATGTTTTACTTGTTGGCATAGAGCAGCTACATGTATGAAGGTACAATGAAATTATTAAAAAGCTACACATTCAAAACCAGTAAGCACATTTAAGACAATCTATGATGCACATATTTGCTGTACAAATTACTGCAAATCCAGCTCAATAAATCAGGTGAACAATATAATAAAATAAACTAATAAAAAGAAGCTCAACCAGGGCAGAAAGCTGTCAGAAGTTCCCTTAAATTTTTCGTATTCCTGAACAGATGTTAATTGAAACGAGTGATCCAGAGTTTTGGTCCTGATTGTTTTTCAGCCTGGACTACAGAACCTGTAAAATTAGTTGATTTGAATAAAACTCTGTGATGATCTGCAAGATACTGAGGTGCCATTTCATAAAGACATTTTAAATAATAACATTTTAAAGTGTAATACACAAAACTAAACTAATTTGAGTGTATAGCTAGTTTTTGTTGTTGATTTCTTATTTAATGGCACAAAGAAGCTAACACAGTGATTTTAGCTCAGTTTTTTATATATATATAAATTAAGAAACGTAAACTCCAAGAACTTCCTTTAATATTTTTCCTTAAAAGTCAAAATGATACTAAATGTTACAGATTATAAAGTCTTTGATTGCTGCCCTTTTTTTTATAAAGCCAGTTGGAACGTCAGGTACATTTTTGTTCTCAAATTTTTGTCTTAGTACCCTGATAACATGAAACACTGTGATATTTTCACGTCATACCATGAGCATCTCATCCTAGCACATGCCAAGCACCATTCTTTTTCACTTCATTTATGCTAGAAATATCACAGCGTCCCATACTCACAATTATATTGGAAGCCATTGCAATGTTTGGAGAGTAATTCTCAGGAAAGCCCTCGACGTGATGCAAACTTTGACTCAGAGCATCTCAGTCACACACTGATGCAGTTGGCCTGAAACAACAACAAAAGAAGCCGATTTAGATTAAGTTCTGATTTTTTTCCCCCTAGAACTAAAGCAAACAAAACTTTGCACAGGTTAGCTTTGATTAAGGTCAGCAGTTAACTACAACAAGGAGTTAACCATGGAAAAAAATAATCTATGCAGCTTCTTTTTGAAGGTATGAGTTTTGAGTCCAACACCAAATAAAAGGGCAAAGAAAAAATTATCACCATGCAACAAGGTAACATCCCAAAAATGTCTATTTTTTATTCAACTAAAAATTAAAAAGGCATCAGAAATATATTATTTCTGACAAACTGCAGTTAGAATTTTCATACATTTAATAAGAAAAGTTTATAAAACATTTTAAAATGTATTTGCGATAAGTTTCAATTATGGACGACTGGTTGGTGCGCTGATGGATTACCCATTAGCACACAGAGTGATGATACAAAATCCATGCAGACAGATTCCAGGCTGGGATTTGAACCCAATACCTTGGTACTAAAAGGCAAAAGTTTCAACATTTGCTCCACTGTGCAGACCAGAACCGTCATTATCAGCACAACCCTTCGCATCTTGGCAGGCCCAACAGGAAGTGTGCTGAGCCACTAATTGTGATAAGACAACCAGACCAAAAGCAAATGTGTGTATGAATGTGTGTGTTTCATACATCTTTTTGTCAGGCAGTTCTTGAGAGGATAAGTTAGAGCACCAAGAACCGTCAAAATGTGAGTCTGTTGAGTCCAAAGTTGTTTAATATTAAATGTTTTGTCTTTGCTTTACAACTAAAACCTTAAAATCTGTGGCAAGTATTAAATATTCAGCTCCCCTGAGAATTAATATGTTCAGTGTAGTTACTGGGACATGTTTTATGTGCTTATCTATACAGTCGTTGCTCATGCAGGGTGAAATTCCTGCTCACTCATCTTCACAGAAAGCTCAAGCTTTGTCAGATTGGAGAGAGTGTCTTTAAGCATACATGTTCAAGTATTGACAACAAATTTCCAAGGCCTGAACTTAAACTGGGACATTCTAACATACAGCTAAATATGATTTATGGCCCCTGGACTGATTTTGTGTGGCCCCTGAATGACACAAATGAATCCCACCAGTGCAGGTGATAGATGAAGGCTTTTTAATCCAATTAGGACAAAACTATAACCCATAAGTTAAAATTTTCTCATAAAAATGTTAGATACAGCACAAAGTATTCATCTTTTAAGGACCAAGCTTTTGTGCTTTCTAGATGGGACGGCATTGATCCATTGATTTATATGCTAATGCAGACTTGGGTGGACCCAAGTCTGATTTTATTTACAATATTAAAGCTTTTTTCAAATAAAGATTGTCCTAAATTATGTTTTTATTTGTAATAATAGACTAAATATGTTAAACTAGTAAAGTGAATGTCTTTCTTCCAATAAAAAAAAACATGCAAAACCCTTTTGAAGCTTTGAATCTACAATGATTTAGACATTGTTTCCACAGAAAAAATAAAAAACATGTTCTCTGCTTAATTAATGTGTCTAGATTGTTGTTGCGCAGGAAATTGATGATTATAGTTCAGAATTTTTTTTTTTTTTTGGCCTGTGAATACTCAAGTTGCCAGTTTTGACCCACGTTACAAAATGTTTGACACTCCTGCTCTGAACGTCTCAGTCTGACTCTGACTGAATGTTTAGGATCATTTTCCATTTTCCACCTGGGAGGGGGATGAACCTCCCTCCCAGGTTTTCCTTCTGGATCATTCTGGATTTAGCTCCATCCATCTTCCCCTGACTAGCTTCCCTGTCCCTGTTGAAGGAAAGCATCCCCACAGCATGATGCTGCCACCATCATGTTTTACAGTGTGTTTGTTTGTTTGTTTGTTTGTTTTTTTGTTTGTTTGTTTGTTTGTTTGTTTGCTTGTTTTGTTGTTTTTTTTTGTGGTAAGTGAGATGGGCAAGATTAGTTTTTTTGACCAACACGTTGTTTTGCATGTAAGCCATAAAAGTTCAGTGTGGAGCTTTTCAGTCAAATGTTGTTGCCTCCCATTTATGGCGTAATTATCACTTTTCCAATGGCTTTCATCTTGCCATTTTTAATACAAGTCAGATTTGTGGAGCATATCTGACTCCACAAATTCAGATATTTGTGGAGCCACAGTCATCTTATTAATAGTTATAATAAGATAACTATTATGACTAATAGTTATATTGCCAAAATATTTCACTACTTGAGCAATAGATCTCTGCAGCTCCCTCAGAGCAACCAGAATTCATGACTGTTTCTGTAATTAGCAAGATGTTGTGTTGTTTAATCACATAAACCGCAATGAAATCCACTAAAGTTTGTGGTTGTAACATCCAGACAAGGGGTATAGATACTTTCAGAAGACTCAATGAGAATAAACAAAGTTGTGACAAAGTTGCTGTGTCACATAACCAGCAGTAAAATGTAAAGCTTGGTGTATATTTGCAAAAGAGATGACAAGGTGATTATTTTTAGCCGCGCATAAATATTTTCACTCTTTAGAAATTTGCATGAATGGTGCGCAAATGTACATGTACAGTGCGGATAACGCAGCTGAAGTTCATTGAGTCTTTTTTTTTCAGCTGCTCATCAAAGCGTGCTGTTATCAAGTGGACAGAGAGCACGTAGAGGGTCTCTGTGTTCACTCCAGCCGTCACGTAGTTTTCAGCAAAAAGCTTCAACTTGTGTCGGTGCCAGCTCTCCTCGCTGGCTGCCCTGGTTCAGCGGCACACAATGAGCGCATGCAGGCGGCCAAAATAGCTCCACGGACGGCCCCCGCGGCACTAACATTTTCATAAAGTACAGCAACCAAGCTGCCATGATGCAAAACAGCTGCAGTAGTTCAAACTATAGCACATACAGAAAGCTTCCTCGTTTTGCTACAAATACTCTGAGGCATTAAAACAACAAAAACTATGGAGGATTACGTGTATGAATCACTGTGAACTTTTTAGAAGGACTTTTACTGTGAGAAAACTTTCCAGTCTTTCCCAAGCGTCTCTAAAAACCGGCCACTCGACACCAACGACTGGTTTGGCCTGATTCTTTGGAGACGGATTGACAGTGTTATGGCTGTGCACATTTATTGATTTTAATCCATTGGTTTTGATCATGCAAAACAATGCAGATGACAATGAGAGCTACACATTAAAATACAAGCTCACTCTTATTAACTTATACGCTCCTTGTGTACGGATTTTCTCTGTCTCATCCTCCAGCAAGAAGCTATATTTACAATAATCTGTCAAATTTAGCTGTTGAAACAGACATTTATGAACTGGACTTTTAAAATGCACGTTAATGCGCGTAAATAATGTATTTTCAGCTTCCTTATTCTGTGTGAGCGTCCACTGCGTTAACTCTTCAAAACCAGGCTCCAGTAGTAGCCGAGTTTATGGACACACTTTCACACATCTGTCCGAATTTCTTTCACAAAAGGCGAGAGACCGTGTGCAGATAGAGAAGGAAACAAAAACTTACCTGAGCAAGATCGCGTTTCAATTTATAAGTCCATTTAAATGTGTCATGTTGAGCGAGCATAATCGTAGTGCAAGAATGAAGATGGAGGAGGAGGCGCTTCTCGGCACCCGGTAGTCGGGTAGTTCAGCGGCCAAACTAATGCAACAGATAAAATTGAGTTAGATGAAGAAAGGAAAAAATTCAAAAGGAAAAAAAGTTTAATTTGTCAAAGTAAACAGTGTGGAAATCTCACAGTAAAAAAAAGTCAGAAGTTGACTCAGCAGGACTACAGTGCTGGTAACTCCCCCCAGAGAACTTTTCCAAATGGGCTCCAACGCGTAATTTCCTCCACACGAGGGCACTTTTTTCACTTTGGTGAGATAATAGCGAATATGACACAGCAATGACGACAAGACCTCTCATAACTTTTTTTCAATACAATCCAGACTAGATCAATTTGCTGTCCCTAGTCACTGTGGGTTTTTTAATTATAGTATGATTAAAGTTTTCCATCTATTTTTTAAATACTATCACATCACTTTAACTTAATTTATCCAACAAGAACATTGATTTATGTTTCTGCAATTCGTTGCGGACCTTTCATTTCGGCTTGAAAAGTCAATGTAATTGTCATCTGTATGATTAATACATCGGAAGAATAATAAAAAAATGCTATGGAATGCATTCAGGTTGATGTATTACATTTAGGTCAAATACTATAAGATTTTTTATTTTGATGTTCATACATATATTTGTTTTTCTACATAAACTAAATCGCGTTGCCGTCCTCCTCGTTAAAACCACTCTGTCCGATCCTCATCTGATTTACATCGAGGCTACTGGGTCTCATTTTTCTGGACCAACACTGTTAGCACAAATTCTTGAAATTATTTAATTTAACAATAAATTTTAAAACCGATGATGAAAAGAATAACTATTTATTTATGCAATTAATTTAAAAAGTCTCAAAGTCAACCCCTTTTGTCTTTCCTTGTAATATTTTTTATCTATCTCAATTTTCGAGAGTAACATATAGAAAATCTAATAAACATAATTATAATAATGTCAAACACCATTTTAATAAAATACATTTCTTTTATGAAATTTGAGTGTTCTGTAACATTTTCCTTTTTTTCTTCGGTTATTAGACCATAATCAGACTTCCGGTTGGTAATAGGTCAGTCATTGGCAGAGTGGGCGGGACTAGAGAGTATAAATGTAGAGTCAGTTCTGCGATACCTCCTATTTGCTTCCAGCAGACAAAGAGACAGGCTCGCAAAATGAATAGAGTACATCGCAGAATGGATCTCATAACATTTTCTACTTTACTGCTGGCAATCAGTTTTTCTTTATGCAGAGGAGGTAAGAAAATGACTTTAAAATTAATTTCGTATGAATTTTAAGTTAGATACATTACTTTAGAACTAAGTTTTTTTTGTTTTAGATTAAAGTTTGATTCTCCAGTCTGTGTCTGAAAGATGTATTTGAAATGTTTAAAGTGCTTTCTAGGATATTGATCTTTATTTTGACTAAATGTCTCCGCTGTAGGTAACCCCTGCTGCTCAGAGCCATGCCAGAACAGGGGTGTGTGCACAGCGATGGGTTCAGAAAACTATGAATGTGACTGCACACGTACTGGTTTTTATGGACAAAACTGCACAACACGTAAGTATATAAAAAGAAACCCAGATTGTATTTCAAATTGTTACATTGGAGCTGCTGTTGACATCTTAACTCATCTTCCCCATTTCTGTCATCTGCAGCTGAGTTCCTCACTTGGATAAAAGTTTCCCTAAAGCCTTCGCCCAACACGGTGCACTACATCCTCACCCACTTCAAGGGTTTCTGGAACATCATCAACAGTATTTCATTTCTCAGAGATGCCATCATGAAATACGTCTTGACATGTAAGTCCTCTGCTTTTTACTCAGTGGAGAAATTAAGTAATTTATACAGAGACAAGTAATAGGTTTATGCAACATAAATGAATAATAAATAAATGTCCTTCCTCTTTCTAGCACGATCCCATATGATTGACAGTCCTCCTACTTACAACGCGGACTATGGATACAAAAGCTGGGAAGCCTATTCCAACCTATCCTACTACACTCGTGCCCTTCCTCCAGTTCCGGCGGACTGCCCAACCCCTATGGGAGTCGTAGGTGAGTTCACTTTCTGCGCTTCAGGAGAACCAGTTTTCTTAGATTCCTATTTAGAGCACAAGAGCATCCCGTTCCTATTACATCAGTGGAAGATCACAATAAAACCTTTTGTTTATCTGCTGGTGTGAGAGGAAACAGTCTTATGAATCGAGCCCAAACCTGTCCCAGCATGCAACAAAGAAAGCGTTTGCCCTGTAATCCTATCATAACAAGCCAGCTTCCTGCTGCACTTTGAGCTGATGTTTATCTTGTTGTTTTCAGGTAAAAAGGAGCTACCTGATGTAAAGGTTTTGGCGGAAAAGCTCTTGGTGAGGAGACGGTTTATTCCAGACCCGCAGGGTACCAGCTTGATGTTTGCATTCTTCGCGCAACACTTCACACACCAGTTCTTCAAGTCTGATATGAAGAACGGACCTGCTTTCACAGTGGCTAAAGGCCATGGGGTGAGTAGCCAAATCTAATTCAGAATAGATTATTAAACAAGAAGTCTTGTAAAAAAAAATTAAATCATGACCTGAAAATGTTTCCTTTGTTTAGGTTGATCTCGGCCACATTTATGGTGACAACCTGGAGAGGCAACATAAACTGAGGCTTTTCAAGGATGGAAAGCTTAAGTATCAGGTAAGAGCAGAGAGCCACATTTCATTAAGACGAAGGCTTCAAATGCACATCTGTGTCTCACGCTTCCTGTATGTCCTTCTTGTGTAACGCTACAGATTGTAAACGGAGAGGTGTACCCTCCGCTGGTTAAGGATGTTGGTGCTGAAATGCACTACCCGCCACACGTCCCAGACTCTCAGCGCTTCGCTGTTGGCCACGAGGCGTTCGGTCTGGTCCCAGGCCTCATGATGTACGCCACCATCTGGCTCCGTGAGCACAACCGGGTGTGTGACGTTTTGAAGGAAGTTCACCCAGACTGGGATGACGAAAGACTCTTTCAGACTTCTCGGCTCATCCTTATTGGTGAGAAATTTTGACTTCTGCAAACAGTTTTTAAAGATATTTCCTGCAACGGCGCCGTGGAGGCGGAATGACTGATATTAGTTTCGAGCAGGGGAAGTTGTGGTTTCAGCTTTGGTATTCCTTGAATAGAGCTATTGATGATAATCACAGGAATGTGTTTTGGCTTGGCAGTAATGAAATGTCAGTTTCCTTTTTGCAGCCGGTAGAGGAAATATTATATTTAAAATGCAAATTAAGCAGAAAAAAATTTGATTACATATTTGATCTCTGTAGGTGAGACCATCAAGATTGTGATCGAGGACTACGTGCAGCACCTGAGCGGTTATCACTTCAAACTGAAGTTTGACCCAGAGCTGCTCTTCAGCAAACGCTTCCAGTACCAAAACCGCATCGCATCCGAGTTCAACACACTTTACCACTGGCACCCTCTGATGCCTGACAGCTTCCACATCGAGGAGAGGGATTACAGCTACAAAGAGTTTGTCTTCAACACCACTGTGATGACCGAGCATGGCATCGGCAACCTGGTGGATTCATTCACCAAGCAGACTGCAGGACGGGTAAGGACTCTCAATGCAGCTGCAGGAACAGCCACATTTTAACCCCAACATGGCTCTAAAGCTTCATGACTTTAAACATTTTATTCCCTTGTAACAGGTTGCTGGTGGGCGGAACGTTCCGGGACCCATCTTGTACGTCGCCATCAAGTCCATCGAGAACAGCAGAAAGATGCGCTACCAATCCCTCAATGCCTACAGGAAGAGATTCTCCATGAAGCCCTACTCCTCGTTTGAAGACATGACAGGTGAGACAAATTCAACACCACCAACAAAGTCTGATACATGTAGGTGGAGCAGATGACGCAAAAGGATTAGCAGGAGATTATTATTGACTCTTCTACGTAATTCCAGACTCTCGCTGCTTTGTCTAATTGTCAAGAAGTTTGAAAAGCATACCTAAAACTACTGAACACAGCTCTCGACAGCGCTTTGGTATTATTAAGGACATGCTTTTGGACTTCCACCCCAGCAGTTTCGGAGGTTCAATGTTTATTTCCATGTCTGTAAGAGGCAGATGTTCATTACATCCTGGCATAATGTAAGCAGATTGTCATTACAAAGAGCAAAGATGTAAACTTACAAGGGAGACCAGCAGCTCCAGGGAGGGATAGGAAAACTACCCCAAGATGTATTAAGAGGCTATTGAGGAAAAGGTTAGATGTGAGGAGACAAAGGAAAGATCAAGTTGGAAAGTTAAGAAGTGGTGCAAGTGAGACGAGCCAGACTGAACCACAAGCTAAAACTGTTTATCTTCTTCTCTACAGGAGACAAAGAAATGGCCGCCATACTGGAAGAGCTGTACGGTGACGTCGACGCTGTGGAGCTCTACCCCGGCCTGCTTGTGGAGAAGCCCCGGCCGAACGCCATTTTTGGGGAGACGATGGTGGAGATGGGGGCTCCTTTCTCCCTCAAAGGCCTGATGGGGAATCCCATTTGCTCGCCAGAGTACTGGAAGCCCAGCACCTTTGGAGGCTCAGTCGGCTTTGACATCGTCAACACCGCCTCCCTGCAGAGGCTGGTTTGCAACAACGTTCAAGGCCCCTGTCCCGTGGCGTCCTTTTATGTGCCTGACATCAAAGAGACCGGATCCATGACCATCAACTCGAGCACGTCGCAGTCGCGCGGCAGTAACCCCAACCCCACAGTTATTCTGAAAGAAAGGACTTCTGAGCTCTAAATACTCAGTTCAAAAGAAAATATGTTATTTAATATTTATTGTGTATTTATGTTTTTTATTTATTCATCTTTTCTCCACCAATGTGTTAATTTATTAAGTGCCTTAAGTTATTTTTGTAATTTAAAAAGAATTAATAACTTCATTGACACCTAATACTTGAAGTGGTAGACTTTCAGCCTCAGTCGTACTTATTGTATTTCTATTGTTTCATGAGGATAATTTCTGTAGATTTGCACACATATGACTAAAACTGGAAGCCTACATGGTTATACTCACCATGACTTATTTATAGCTCCGATGCATTTCTATTTTTTCTACTAATTCACAGATTTATTTTTTTAATAAAAGAAAACTTGGACTGTTATGTGAGTATATGTGCAGAATGTGTGTTTATATGTGTCTAAACTGCAG